ATGTTTAAATTGGTATAAGTACTGTAACAGACTTCTTGGCAACATCTCCTAGGTCTGGACAGCATCCTCTATGCCTTAGCAGTTTTATTCCTTAAGTATACACTGAGTACTAAGTGTGTACTAAGTACATAGGTATGTTACCAACCAAGAGCACATGTAAATGTCTTGATGGACTTCTTGGTAACAGTACTGATGTACACTATGTGTCCCTCAGCTGTGGAATGGATTTTATGGTATATTCACACAGTGGGATACTGAACATTCATGAGAATGAATCGACTCCAATTGCATACAATAGTGCAGGTAAACTTCACAAACATAATGTGAGAGGCCAGACATAAAAGAGTAGTATGGTGTGGTTTTATTCACATAGAAGTTCAAAAACATTACAAGGAAACATTACAAAGTAATATAGAAGCCAAAATACTGGTTATTTTGGAGATGGGGGGAGGGACAGTCAAGACTGGAAGGAGTCAGGGATTTCCAAGGAGCTGGTAGTGCTTTGTTTCTTGATGCACATGTGTTCAAGTGATGTGTTCTTGATGATGTGCATGTGTTCAGTTTGGATTTTAAAAAGTCAAGGTTAGGAGTTACAATTATAAAAAGCAAAGGCTAGAATTAATCTTGTGTTGGATTGAATTGGTAGTATACATAGATAGACATAATACGTTTAATGGATTTAGTTTTATTTATTTTGCAATTTACTATTTGACACAGAGTAAACTGCAACAAATCATTGCTAATTATTTTAAGTTAAACTGCTCTTTTCCCACTCCAAAGGATAGGTTACCTAGGATGCCAAGTGAAAGGTTTTGAAGAAGTTATTTTTTAGTCCTCATACTTTACATGTGGTGTTCTTACAATCTGTCATTACCACAGTGAAATTCAGGCTAATCAGAGAATTCAGCTGGAGATGCAGCTCAGTGATCAAGCACTTGCCTAGCACACACAGAGCCCTGGGTTCAATCCCTAGTACGCTAAAACAAAACAAATTAAGCATGGGGAAACATATTTTGTTGCTGTTCATTCCGTCTACTCTTCTTATTCCATCCACACGTGACAGCCTATTTACACATTCATGACAGGCCATAATTCATATGTCTCGCTGCCAGATGGCTCTAATTTGAATTTGGTCATTCCCGCCAGCTTAAATCACTCTGGTACGTGCATGAGTGTCCCATCAGGCAGCTTGTACCATTTTCTCAGGGCATCTTTGATTACAGTATTGCAAAGAAAGGCATTGAGGGGCCAGGGAATTAGCTCGGTGGTCTTGCCGCCTGCATCGCAAGCGCAAGGACCCAAGTTCGATCCCCAGTACAAAAAAAGGCACTGAGTTAGCAGACCACATGTCATCATTACAGTTCCTTAAGGAACTCATGTGGTCATAGGTGGGGCTTTTTCAGAGGTGGCTGGATCTAGGGTGTGTGATGCTGGGATTGATTCATGGTGCAGTGCTAGGACCAAGGGCACTAGGATTAAGGGTGTGAGTGTTTCCTGTCCTAATTAGCCTGGGTAAGATAAAAGAGCTGCTACCTTCTGCCCACCATGAACTGTTTCTCCTCTGCCATGCCACCCTGCCTCTACAAACTGTGAGCTAAATAAACCTTTCCACCCTTAACTTGTGAGTGTTGGGTATTTTGTCTCAGCATGGAGAAAAGTAACTAAAACACGTGTTGAGAAAGTTGTTTTTTAAACAATAACTGATATTGAGGACTTAGGCCAAGTTTAGAGTGTCAGGAAGCAAGAAGAGTTAGACTAAATCAGGCCAGAGCACTTCATTAAAAGTTTCAGGTATTGAGGGCTCCTGGGTGTGGCTCAGTTGTAGAGAGCATCCTGGCTTTCTCGAGGCACTGGGTTCCGTCCCCAGCACCGCCAAACCAAAACTAAAACAAACCAGTTTCAAGTATGTTATTACTAAAAGGATTTGAGTTTTCCTTCTATTCTGAAAGTCAGATAGTAGGTAGAAACTTGATTTGGGCTCCGTTTCATGACGGTTCCCAATTTAGAGTGGTTCCATTTAAAATTATTTTACTTTCTGACAACGGTGTGAAACCACAAGTGTTAGGTAGAGACTGTAGTTCACACTGGGGCTGGGCCGGCGTGTAGCACGCAGGCGAGGTTCGGGGCAGTGTCCAGTGTCCGGCCAAGGCTCCCGATCCGCCCCGTGATTAGGAGCGGAAGTGGCCGCGCCCGCAGTGCGCTGTGTGGCTAAGCGGTAATGTTTGGGAGTTGGTGTGTAAACGCTTCTCCATGTCCCATATTCCAGCCTGTGGTGAGTTTATCAGGATGTAACCCAACTGTAAACTGAGGAGCATCGATATTTATTTTTCAATTATTCTATTTTACAAAGAAGTACACAGGGTTCCCATGTATTCCTGCCCTCCCCACGCAGTCTCCTCCACTGTGAAACCCCATTACCAGAAGAGTACGTTTTTTGTTAAATGATGAACCCGCGCGTTTACCACCCGCAGTCAGTAGAGGTCACTCTCGAGGCTGTAACGTTCTCAGGGTCTGCACGGGCTTATAATGACACGCATCCTCTGCTAGAGTGTCACCTGCAAGCGTTTCACTGCCCCGAAGTCCCCTGTGCTCCACCCTCCTTCCCCTCAGCCCCTGGCACCCACCGATCATGTTACTGTCTCCACGTTTTATCATCTAGGCTGTCGCACAGTTGGAATCATGCAGTACGTTGGCCTCCTTCACTTAGTAATCAGTTCCTCCGCCTCAGATAGCATTCCTTTGCCAATGTTCCAGTTTGTCCGTTTCCCCAGTGAAGGACAGCTTGCTTGTTCCCAAGCTCTGTAGCAAATGTGAATAAAGCTGCCGTACACATCTGTGTGCAGGTTTTTGTGGAGATTAAGTTTCCAAGTCTTTTAGGTAAATATCAAGGAGCATGATTGCTGATCCTGTGTTAAGTACTGTATATGTTTAACTTTGTAAAAAAAAAAAAAAACTGCCAGACTGTCTTCCCAAGCGACACACCATTTTGCATTCCCAGCAGTGACTGAGGGTCCCGTTGCCCCACATCCTCATCGGCATTTGGTTGTCAGTGTCCTAAATTGTGGCCGTTCCAATAGGCGTGAGGCAGCAGCTTGTTGTAATTTATGTTTCCTACTGGCTTTCGGTATCCAGTGTCTCTGTAACAGTTCTTTATCAGATGCGTGTTTGGTGGATGTTTTCTCCCAGGGTGGCTTTCTGTCTTCGTTTGTATTTTTAAGTCGTGTTTGCACATCCTCCCACACTCTGGCTCTCCTTCAGCCCAAGCAGGCTAACAGTTCTTCCTGTGTTGTTTATGCGTCTTCCAGCTCATTCAGACCAACAAACTGAAGCACTACCCCAGCATCCATGGAGACTTTAGCAATGACTTCCGGCAGCCGTGTGTGGTGTTCACCGGGCACCCTTCGCTCCGGTTTGGGGACGTGGTCCACTTCATGGAGCTCTGGGGAAAATCTAGTCTCAACACTGTCATATTTACAGGTAAATTCACAAAATAAACTCACCCTTGCCCTTTCCTCTGGGACCAGCAGTGGCTGCAGCAGGGTGGACCCAGGAAAGGATCTGCTGGAGCTACCGACCTGAGCATCGTTCTGCTGAATGCACCAAAGAGCCACTAGCGACGGAGGAAGTGAAGCGATGGTGCTGTTAGATAACTGTCTGTCGAACACCATTTTGCTCCTTTAGGTTTTCCCAAGGTGCAATTCTGCTCAACTGCTTTTCAGTGGATTTGTTTATCACTGCAAGAACTGATTCCAGTACCTGCTCTCTTGCTTTACCTTTAGGAGTTGTTATCCATGGATCTTTCTCCTTTGTAGTTTACTCTGGCTTCTCCGGAGTCAAACCCCTCAGGAAAAAAATCCTTTCATGAGGTGAAGTATGGGATTGACTTAGCTAATTACTGCATTAGCAGTTTATGGTCTTCACGCTGATTTGGGTTTTGGGAAATCTGCATGCTAGGAAGTAAAACAGTTTGGTCTGAAATCTGGCCCAACTTGATACAAATGTAGCCATGCACCTTCCTGGGCCCCATTTTTCCTTGCTGTAAGTGGGAAAGCTCTCAGATACCACAGCTGCTTTTCTGTCTCTACCACCTTTGGGTCAAAGGCAGCAGCAGTTGGGTCACAAGACACAGCACACAGTACCTAGGACTTGGCCATACTGAGAAGGTGGGTCAGAGAAGGCTATGGGCCAGCGCCAGGCTTGGTCTTTCCTGTTCCCCAGCTATGACTTTCAGGACAGTGGGTGTGGTATCAGCACAGGGACACCCAGGAGTGCTGGATTTGGTACAGATGTTCCTTTAGCCAGCTAAGAAGAAAACAAAGGCTATGTGATCATTCGTGACAACTCTGGGTAACGAGTTTGCATTTAAACTGGTTCGTCAGGCTTCCAGAGCAGTTGTGTAGTTTCTGATATCTACCAGCGGGAGAGCCACCTTTTTCACTGGTGTGATGGCTGTTGTCACATTAAAAAATCAGTATTCCCCTTCTAGGCGGCCTGTTCTTACCTCATTTGGGAGTTCTGGGAATTTTTTGGGAAACATGATCCGCTGGAGGTGGTAATTTAAGTATCTGAACATTCTGAAGCCACGCGTGGTGGTGCATGCCTGTAATCCAAGTACTCTGGGAGGCTGAGGTAGGAGGGCCCCAAGTTCAAGCCCAGCCTGGGCAACATTGCAATTTAGACAGACCCTGTCTCAAAAAATTTTTTTCAAAGTATGAGGAAGGGTGGCTGGGATAGCTCAGTGTAAAGGCCCTGGGTTCAGTCCACAGCACCATCAAAAAATACGAAAACCAAAAACAGTAGAACTGGTGACTGTGGAGAAGTTAGTGTGCTGGTGAGCACAAGTTCGTGGCCCACGAGAAGCAGGCCCCTCACTGGACACTGCCCAGACTGTGGGAATCCCAGCAGCATCTCTCACATCAGGAGGCTCCAGGCAGCAGCCTCTCTGAGAGCCCTGCACGTCCCTGCAGTGTGGGCTGCAGAGGAAAAGCTGGGCCACAGGACAAGGATACAAGGATGGCTCCCCGTGTGGGGCCAGGCCTCCTGCTGGGAGCGACTGTCTCACGAGGGCTTGGGGATAGCCTGATGGTTTGTCCCAAAGCTGGTATCAGCTCCCATGCCTGGCATAGCAGGCTGGGATGGCCTCTGCACTGCAGTTGCGCCGCGGCTTTTTGTACTTAATCAGCGTCTTGTGGGGGAACTTGGAGATATGTACAGATCCTCTTCTTCCTTACCTTCGTGTTTTAGCATTTACCGGTGATTGTAGTCGGAATTCATTCTTGGTGTGATTCATTTCTTTACACTGACCAGCTGGCATTTGTTGTAAAGCACTGCATTCTCTCCTCTCCCGGTATCTCATCCACGCTTTATGGTGAGCACTCCGAGCCTACATCTGTGCCTCCCAGCCCTGGTCCACCCGAAGGTTTACCCTGCCCTCCTTTCTGGCTTGAAGCCCTACCCCACACCCCCTGCACCCACCCCGCAGCTGCTCTCTTGCCTCTCATTAAAACGCCCTTCTGTGCTCTCCCTAGAACCCGACTTCTCCTACCTGGAGGCGCTGGCTCCCTACCAGCCCTTGGCCATGAAGTGCATATACTGCCCCATCGACACACGCCTCAACTTCATCCAGGTGTCCAAGCTGCTTAAAGAAGTGCAGGTGATGAAGGACATGGCCCTGCTGCTCTGTAAGGCTGCCTGCATTCCAGCCCCATCCTCGCAGCTCCCAGACAGCTGCATGGCGCTGGGACAGGTCCTGCTGACGCTCTGACTTGAGAGTAATGGTCTTCGAGCCCTGCACAAAGTTCCCAGCCTGAAGAAATCAAAAGTACAGGGAAAGAAGACAAACAGTTACTTTTGTTTTGTTTTGTTTTTGGTACCAGGGATCGAACTCAGGTCCTTGCGCTTGCACAGCAGGCAGTGAAACCACTGAGCTAAATCCCCGGCCCACAAACAGTTACTTTTGATGAGGCTCAGTTGTGTCCACCTAAAAGCAGGGTGTCACGTGCCCCCTCAAAAAAGTCATTCTAGAAACATATTTACCAAACTTAGAGGCAGTTTTATTGCAACCCATATTGGGCCCTGTTACACAAACTGTTGTTTTGGTTTGTTGTTCATTTGATCCATTTTGCATTTTCTGCCCTAGTGAAAGGGAAGAAGTCGTTGGGGTGAAATGTGAGATAAAAGGATGAATCTGCCCAGAAGGAAAGTGTAGATGGGAGCCAGGGGTATTTGGTGGGTGTTTGGCAGTTGGGACTGGGAAGGCGGACTGGAGTTGACATGGAGGGAGGTACAGGGAGAGGAAGATTTCTGCTTGGCTGTTAATCAGGACTTCCAGCCTACAGTGCTGAGGGCCCTGGCACGGCCCTACCTCTGCACCTGCTCAGTTAGCAGGGTGCACTTAGCTCTGTCCACTTCCTGGTGTAGTCAGGAGTTGCCTTTCTGCCTCCTCACAGGATCTGGGTGTCAGGAAGAGAGGCCCCTACCCAGAATGCTCGGGCAGGAGTGAGAAACGGAAGGCCCTGGGCAGGTGGGAAGGTGCACCTGGTGCTATGCAGCTTGCTGGCCCTTTGGAAGGCAATCTGGGTTTTCTCTAGGCCTTAGGCGCCGGCTTTGGGCCTACATGAAAGGAATTCGATGCCGACTCTGTGCTCACCCCAGGGAGGAACAGCTAGGAGCCTGGTGAATTTCGTTACTGAGTAACTTCAGATGCCAGGCCTAAGCTGGCATGTGCTGTTGCACCGGTGTGCTCATACTGGAAACGGGAACCAGCTGGTTGCCACTCAGAAGAAACCCGAGTCCTGTGCACACTAAGACAGCTGTGAGAAGCTGGAGAAGTGAGGAAGAGCAAATGGCATTTGCAGAAGAAGCACTAGCTGGAAAGAGCAAGTGCTGTGTCGCATCCCCCAGCTCTGCCTGCTGGAAGTACTTAGTCCCCGTGTTAATGGCTTAGTCCAGACCCTTAAGTGAAAGCAGGAACAATGCAATGGCCTTGTGAGTTGTCAGCATTAGTTTCCAGTTGGGTGGTGTTTGTCCAAAGTAAATGTCAATTTACTAAGGTTTTTTCTCTGAAGAAAAAGGAAACTTTCTTAAAGTTCCGTATCTGATTTGTTGTCACACATGGCAGAGTGTGATCTGCCAATTGCCTAAGAAACTCTGAGTCTAGGCCTCCCAAGCAGCACAGACAGTTTCAGTTCCACCTCCTGCCTGTCTGTAAGGACTGAAGGCCAGGGCTGCTGTGCCCTTAGGGCGCCTCGGACCAGCTGGGAGTAGACCTTCATGGATGTCACCCTGAAAGTCACTCAAACAGAATGAGAGAAGTGTTTAAATGCAAACTGAGGCAGTAAACCCTTTGCTCGTCCTTGTGGCCGGCAGCTTGGTCTTCCCGGAGAGGGGCACCCTGCTTTCCCTGCACGGTCCTCGTCTCCGTTGCTGTCGCTTGAGTGTGAAGGCACGAGAGTGCCACATGGCCTACAAGGGCCTGACATCCGGGAAGCCAGGATGAGGAAGAGTGGGGCGCTCTGGTCCCCGGCCGCCCCTGACCCTGTCCCATTGCTCCCCAGCCCCTGCACGTGGTCTGTCCGGAGCAGTACACCCAGCCACCCCCGGCCCAGTCACACAGGATGGACCTCATGATCGACTGTCAGCCCCCACCCATGTCCTACCGGCGGGCCGAGGTCCTGGCCCTGCCCTTCAAGCGTCGGTACGAGAAGATCGAAATCATGCCTGAGGTGAGTGACCCTTTCTCGTCGTCAAACTCAGATTTAACTGCTTGAGTCAAAATGGTCGCTGAGTTGTCTTTCTTTGGGGTTTGTCAAATAGGAATGAGTGAAAGAACAGACTCCTAAGGAAGTAACTGGGTAAAGAGGTGGGGTGTGAGCCTCTGGTTTTCAGTGCTGCCCCCTAGCTGGATGTTCAGTGTGATCCTACAGCCCAAAGTGCAGGCTGGAGCCGGGGAAGGGGGCTTGTGCACCAGGGCTGGCGCGGGCCTTGACCGCCTTACGCTGTGCTTCTGGCCTTCTGGACCTCATTTATAACTGAGGGATGGGTATGCATGCGGAGAGGAGGGAAATAAGAATAACTAGAAAAGAAGGAACGTAAATGTGTTATTTGTATGCCTTTTAGCACAACATGGTTTCGGTCTGTCATAGTCTAAATATTTGTAGTTCTCTGAAATCTTAGGGGGTTTTTTGGTTTTGTTTTAGCTTTTTCTTGCAGTACTGGGGAATCGAACCCAGAGCCTCATACATGCTAGGTGAGCACTTTACCACTGAGCTACACCTGCAGCCCTTTTTATTTCAATTTTGAGACAGGGTCCCACTACATTGCCCAAGATGGCTTCAAACTTGGAACCCTTCTGCCTCAGCCTCCTGTGTAGCTGGGATTACAGACATGCAGCACCAGGCTCTTAGCTTATGTTTTCATCGGGAAGAAGCAAAAGGCATACTGTATATGTGGGACAGTCGGGGCAGGTTGTGTGCTTAAGTGACATCCATGACAAAGGCAGCAAGAAGGGAGAATGGGCTCTGAGGTGACCGTGCAGGCCACTTCTGGCTTCCTTTTCCTCTTAAGACAGCTTGGAGTATTTTAACAGAGGGCTGGAAGAAATAGTAAAGCTCGCTGGTAAGCCAGCGTGCCCAGCATTCTTTCTGCGTTCGGGTTTAGGAACGCTGTCCAGACCTTGGTTCTGAGCTCCAGGCTCCTGACGTTGCTCCTCCGGCCCCAGTAAGGCTGGTGCAGAGCCGCTTTCCACACATGGATTCCTTTGCAGAAATAAGCAGAAAGGCAGTGTCCTTAATTAAGAACAATAGATAAGGCAGATCCAAGCAATTTTAATAATTAAATTGGATGAAGGATTCAGCAGTACCAAACTAGAGTTTAAATGCAACCAGTGCCGCTTCTGTTAAGTAGGTGGGCGTTACACTGTGCAGTCCTTCTCATGCCCAAGTGCTGGGACTGCCAGCCGGCGTGCACCACCGCCCACCACTCTGAAGGTCATTGGATGTCTGTGGTCTCATCTGTAAAAGGAAAAATGAATTTTCAGTTGGAACCTGTGAATGCAGCATTTTAGATTCTAATGAAGTGGCTAAGCAGTTTCTAATTTCAGCTTATTTGGGCGGGAGGAGACCAGGGTGACCAGCTCAGTCCCCCTGCAGGCTCTGGGTCAGGCTAAGTAACCAGTGAGCCTCCTGCAGGGCGGCCAAGGCTCTTTGGGGACAGTGGTCCCCCTGAGACTTCACCCAAAGCTCTGCACAGCGGCTCCTTGCCTTAGACTCCTAGTCTCCCCATTCATCCGGTTTAATATGGCCTGGACTGAAACGGTTTCATTTCAGAATGTTGGCATTGAATAATGATCTTTTTTTAAATGAAGGACAGAGGAAAGCAGGTTTCCTCTTCCAAAAAAGGAGATTTTCATTTTGTTTGTAGCACAGAAGTGGTGTAAATCATGCCCACTTCTAATTTTATGGTGGCTTAATGTATTTTTTTTTCTGATTTTGCTTTTTCATTTTCCCATTTTGTTCATCTTACAGTGAAAGACACTGGCCTGGTGTCTTTGGGTTATTTTTATTACTGCATGTTTGTAGTCCATGCAGTTTACAGTCATCTGAGGAGTGGGTACATGATACAGCTTGTTTCTTTCATCTCCTTCCTTTTCCCTCCCGTTAACCATATGAGTCTAGGAATCTTTCCATTTCTTCACAATTTTCCAGTTTGTTAGAATACAGCTTTTCAAAGAAGTTATTGACCATCTTTTGGATTTTGACAGTCTGTTTTGGGGTTTGGTTTTTTTTGGTTTTGGTTTTGTTTTGTTTCGGTACCAGGGATTGAACTCAGGACCTTGTTGACAGTCTGGTTTGATTTTGCCTTTTTCATTTCTAATTGCGTTCATGAGAGTCTTTTCTGTCTTTCTCTTGGTAAGTCTAAGGGCTTATCTATTTTGTTTATTGTTTTGAAGAACCAGCTCTTTGATTTTTTTTTGTCTTGATTTCAGGGATTTCCTCTCTAATCTTTATAATTTCTCTCCTTAATTTTGATTTGGGCCTGGCTGTTGCTTCTCAAGTATCTCAAGATTCTTCATAAAGTTATTTATTTGAGCTCACTCTATTTTCCTAATGTGAACATGGATTGCAATGAACTTTGCTCACAGGACTGCTTTCACGGTGTTCCAGAGGTTTCATTGAGTTGTAAAGGCAGTCATTAACTTTCATAATTTTGTTTTTCCTTGATTTTTTTTCTAGGATCTATTGGTTGTTTAGGAGTATATTGTTAATTTTCCAGGTGCTTCTATCTTTTTCCATGATTTCTTCTGTCATTGATTTCCATCTTCATTGTTCAGTGCTCTGATAGTACACATGGGGTAATTTCAATTCTTTTGTATTTATTTAAGCAGGTTTTGTGGACTGCTATGCAATCTATTTTGGAAAAAGTACTGTGGGCTGCAGAAAAGAATGTATACTCTGTTGTAGTGGCATGGAATAGTCTGTAGGTATCTGTTAAGTCCATGTTCAAGGGTGTCGTTCAGCTCTGATATTTCTTTTGATTTTTGGTTTAGTTGGTCCCTCTTTGCAAGAGTGGTAAGATCCTTTACTATGACTTCTAGTATTTAGTAATTGATCTTTTCTGTTCAACAGTATATGTTTTATGAAGATAGGTCCTTCTGTATTCAGTCCATAAATATATAAAAATGTTCTCTCTTACGGGATTATTCCCTTAACCAGTAAGTAGTGGCCTTCTTTGTCTCTTCTAACCATTTTTAGCTTGAGATTTACCATGTCTGAAATTAAAATTGCTACCCCTGCTTGTTTTCAAGGTCCTGGTGCATGAAATACTGTTTTCCATCCTTTAATTTTTACTCTAAGAATATCTTTTTGGACTAGATTAATTTCTTGAATACAACAGACTTGGATTCTGTTTTTTGATCCAGTCTGCTAATCTGTGTCTTTTAGTTGGAGAGTTGAGGCCATTAACGTTGAGAGATATTACTGAGATCTGTTATTTACTATCACATTGCATTCTTTCTCTGTTGGTGGCTCCTCTGTTTTTCTTTTCCTGTCAGTTTTTGTTGTTGTTTATCCATTGACCTTAGGTGGTGTTCTCTTTTCATCTGGGTTTGTAGCTATATTACTTTCATTGTTACTGTCTAGTATTTTCTGGAGTGCTGGTTTTGTAGTCATAAATCTCTTGACTGGTCTTTTTAATGAAATGTCCTTATTTCTCTATTTTGAAAAAAAAGTTTTTCTGGGTAGGGTAATCTAGGCTGGAAGTTATTTGCTCTTAGGACATGAAATGCAGACATTCCTTGCTTAACAGTGACCAAATTACATGCCTGGCACTAGGTCAAGTAAATTGTTCACTAAATGAGGAATTCTATATAGTATGTGCATTACAATATTCAAAAGAAAGAAATGGTCAAAAGAAACTCCATTCTGATGGCTTTGCTTTTATTTGCATAACTGTTACATGTAGTACTGTAATGTATAACAACAGTACTGTACTGAACAGTATAATCAGCAAAAATTACAGTACTGTATAAACAAGGTATACTGTACCAAAAAGGCACTGCAGCTCTATAAACAAAATGTACAGAACTGTACAAAAACGAAACAGCTGCTAAGTGAGTCTGAGCAGCAGGTCATAAATCTGAAGTCATTAAACAGGTAGGTCAGTAAACAAGGAATATCTGTACATCACTTCAAGCTCTTCTTGTCTTTGAAGGATTATGTTGAGAAGTCTGCTGTAATTCTAATGGGTTTACCTTTATATGTGATTTTATTTTTCTGACTGCTTTTAAAATTCTGGTTTCTAATTGGATATCTGGCCATTTAATAAGGATATGTCTTGGTGAGCTGCTTTTTTCATCACAGTTGTTTGGTGTTCTAGCAGCCTCACCTCCTTATATGTTTGGGAAGTTCTCTGCTATGATTTTTATACACATATGAGTAATTCCATCTGTGTTCTAGCTTTTCTCCAACTCTAGTTAGCCTTAGGTTGGACATCTTTGTGTCATCTAGTAGCTGCTAGATGGTCGTCACCTCAGTTGCCTACTGCTGAGGAGACCCTAGGAGCAGACCCTGGCGTGTGCTCATCCAGCTGGGGCTCGTCGGGTCGGTCCCAGGGATTCTCCTGAGCTGGGCGCGTGGCGTGGCCCCAGAGGGCAGCCGCAGTGGGCACAGCCATCTGGCCAACCCCAGGCTTTCTGCCTGGGCACACAGCATAGGCCTCTTCTGGATTCTTGTCTAGTAGCTGACAGTGGCTGGGAATAAAGGCATAGGTTTAGATGTCAACACTCTAGGCCAGCAGTCCTCAAACTTTTTGATCTCAAGCACCTTCAAAAATTAGGGCCTCAGGAGCTTTTGTTCATGTGGTTATATTTATTGATATTTGCTGTATTACAAATTTAAACTAAAATATTGTTAAGACATGAATTCATTTTAAAATATCATTACAAACCTATTGTATGTTAACATAAGTAAAGGATAAAAACAAAAGCAAACTTCAGTGTTAGTCGCAACACAAGAGAGAAGTACTTTAGTTCGGTTTTTGTGTATTACCTTGTCCGCCGTTCATGTGCGTGTGTATACTGGAATCATGCCCGGTAGACTTTTTCACCCAACTGCAACTATGCTGTATCCTTAAAGATATTTCAGGGATTGGAAATGTAGCTCAGTGGTAGAGCATGAGGCCTGGAGTTTAATCCCCAGCACTGAAAAAAAGAAAAATCAGGTTTCTGTTTTAATGGCTGCATAAGTCTATCATAAGCAAATTATAATTTTAACTGTTAATTTGCTGGTGGACATTTATTATTTCTCCTAACACTTTCAGGTGCACCCTTTTATTTAAATCGAGTTTGTTTTTTCATAGGAAAATTTTCTGAATTTGGCATTTCTGGGTTAAAGCTTAAGAACATGTTTTATAGCTCCAGGTTACACATTGCTGTCTTGAGCAACCCAACTGGAAGCCTTTTTCCCAGGTTCCTCAGGCTTAAAACGCTGCTGAAATCCTTGGGTTCTTGTTTTATACCCTGCTGTTTCGCCCCCAGGAAAAGCCTCTCTCCTCATGTGGGAGCCAGAGGGAGGGGTTCCAAAAGGACCTTAGAAAGCACACCTCTAGGAGTCAGAAATAACAGGATTGTTCTCCTAAGCCAGGAATAACCCGTGCCCACAGTTGGGGGAGGGCTGGCCCCACCCAGCTGAGCCCTGCCCTGGCTGGGGGCTCCAGCTGCAGAGTCTGTGACTGACTTTTCAGATCCGTTTCTGGATATGAATAGGAAACAGCATATGGCAGATCAGTACAAAGCTCCCAAAGCTGCTGTATTTGTTAGCAATGGCAGCTGCCAGGCAGCAGGCGCTAACAGCCCACAGCTTTGTCCCCTCAGTCCCTAGGTTGTTGTCATTGTTCTCTACAGGTCCCAGTTCTTGGGAAGATACTGTCATGGCTCTTAAAGTGCAGTGTAAAATAGAACCAAAAGAATTATTTAAACACATGCCCGGGAAATGCATGGGTGAGATGAAATGGTTATATTCTAGTGCTGCTTTTTATTTTGCCACTACTAAAGGGGGTTTGTCTTCCCCCAAATGAAGGGGTAGCCTCAGGCTCCTTTAAGGATCCTCCTTCCAGTCCGTTCAGGGTAGTACCTGGGATGTCAGTCCTTGGGTGCAGTTCTTATGAGAATCACTTGTGGGGTGCACATGGACACCCTCCCTCCCAGAGGTGCTGAGCCGCAGTTACTGTACACCCCAGGCTGACTTCCACGGCGACAGAGCTGCCTCCTCGTCTCCTATGAACAGCCCCAGCTGGAGTCTCCCTGGAATCTGGTCCACCTGCCCGGGGAGAGCCTCTCCCCTGCTTGGCTTCCATGCCAGCCTGACCTGGGCAGGGAATAATGGGGTGCAGAGGAGAAGCAGTTTAGAGTGGCAAAGGTGAAGGACAGGACCTGGGGCGGGCAGGAGGCTCACACAGTGCTGTCCCCGAAGGCAGGAGCTCTCCCATTTAGCCCGCGCCCTGTGCTTCCTTACTCAGGGAACAGCCCGCCCTTGCGCATCCAATTCCCAGTCTGATCACACGGCGTGGGCCTCGTCCTCTGCCCACCCAACACTGGTCGTCCCATACGGCGCCGCCATGCCTGTCTGTCTGTGCTGCTAAGTTAGGGTGGCTTGCTGGGTGGAAGTCTGATGTCCGTGAGGCCCAGGACGGCCCCACAGCTAAACCCCAGTGCCCTGTCCCTAGGCAGGGGATGATGCACACGCTCCTGTCCCTGTCACATCTGACACTAACCACCTGGCAAGGAGCCCGAGGCCAGCGTGACTGCGCAGCCTGGTGGGCCCTGGGCCCTCTCCACACGGAGCCACTTCCCCGGAGACAGGAAGCCTCTCAGCCTCCAGCCCTGGGTTGGAGAGGCTCGGTGAGCATCTGAGGAGGTTGGGGCCCTCAGACCGTGCGTGCAGGAGAGGTGCTGGCACTGTCTGACGGGCGCTGTGACCAAGCAGGAGACGTGACATGCGGCTGCCCTGACCCTGAGTGAGGCCTCTGCCCCTCAGGCAAAAGCACCAAGCAAAGCCCCAAAGGTTCCACATCACTGGAAGGCTCAGGGCTGCGGGTTAGTTCTCTCCCTCTTCCCAGGCCTGTCCATCCGCCGCCCTCATCTCTTCTGTCTTCTCTCCCCTTTATTGTAATCGATAGAGATCTGCATGGTGTATGAATGGTCGATGCGTTTTTCTTCTTTAAAAACACTGTATATTTTTTTTGCATTCTTTCTCCCTTAAGCTGTTCGGCCATTTCAGACTGCACTGATATGATTACAATTGAAGCTCCATCCTGGTAACCATTTAGAGGCCCAGCCTCCCGCACGTCCACACCTTTCCCTCCAGACAGGCCGAGCAGGATGCCGGGAGCATGTGGTGCACTGGTCCTCGGCGTCACCTTCCACCCTGGGCTCTCACAGGAGGGTGAGGCTGAGCCCCTGTGGCCCCCTCATCCCACTCAGGGAGCCCACCTGAAACTCTGCATTTGCTTTCAGCTTGCTGACTCCCTGGTGCCCATGGAGATCAAGCCTGGCATCTCCTTGGCAACCGTCTCGGCCGTGCTGCACACAAAAGACAACAAGCATGTGCTTCAGGTACGACTGGCACAGGGTGGGACACAGGAGGGACCACTCCCTAGACATCACTGCGTAATGCCTACCAAAAACGGCATTCCCTCAAAACTCTCTGGCCACACGGCTCGGAGAAGGAAGGGAAGAGAGACTGGTTAGTGGGCTGAAGCCACATGTCATCCTAAGCTTGCTTCCCAGGGCACATTCCTCACACGAGCGAGCACCTGTCAGGCACCCCCAGAACACTGCAGGGTGACAGGGGTGCCATGGGAAGACCTGAACAGTAGCCAACACAGCCCCTTCCCTAGGGGGCCTGGAAATACACAGCATAAAACCAGGGAGGCCTGGGGCCTTCAACTCAGGAGAGACTGACCCCCATGCGGAGGGCGGCCCTTGTCTCTTGCAAATTCCTCGATGACCTGTGTAACTAACGTGCCGTCGGGCCCTGTGCTGGGGCTGTAGCATGCACGGTTCGTTAGCCCTCACAGAATTCCCATACAGTTCTCCTGCTGGAGCAGTTCCTCTGCCCTCCCATTTCCTGGCTGAAGGCTGACAAAGCTAGGACTTCACCCACGTCAGACCCGGCAGCCAGTGGACTTGGCAGTTGCCGGCAGTTCACTCTTGAGGAAGGTACCTGGAAAGTACTGTACTGAATTGGACTGATGGCAAATTGATAACCAGACCTTGATAAAAAGCAGGTCTTGGGCAGATAAGGCGGGAGCCACGGGGCTAGTCTGGCATTCGCTGGACTCGGGGGCCCACTGGTTTCCACACGAGGGTGACGCCAGGCTTTCCGGGCCCTCAGCCTGTGTCACCAGAGGCTCCCCAGGTTCTGCGCCTTCTCAGAGGCTCTTGGCGAGACCCAGCCTCCGCTCTCCCCCCAGCCCCCTCCTAGGCCTGCGCAGCCTGCAAGCGGCAAGAAGAGAAAGCGCATGAGTGATGACGTTCCGGACTGCAAAGTGCTGAAGCCCCTGCTGAGCGGCTCCATCCCCGTGGAGCAATTTGTGCAGAGCCTGGAGAAGGTGAGCGACTGCCTTGCACGGCCGCCTGCCCTGCTCCTGCTTGTCGCTGGGGCCCACTGTCCTCTGTAGCTGGGGGCCTCTCCCACCCTGCTTCCTGTGGAGTGGACTGCGGAGAAAGCCCTTCCTCAGAAACCCAGCTGTGACAGGTGGGACGGGGAAAGGCCAGGGCAGAGGACCACCCGCCGGAGTCGCACTGGTCCATAGGAAGCTGCTGGCTGCCCAAGGAGACCCAGGTCTCAGGCTGAGTGACGATGGGGGGTGATTCGAAGACAGGTCAGAGGCAACCATGTGAGAGGACACCGGGTCTGTCTCTGTCTCAGCGCCCATCCACCCTGCACCCCAATGGCTGCTTCTCCCAAATGGATGGTTTCTTGTCTACAATTAACATGCTCTTACTGGCTTGAACCACCAGTGGTACATACGGATCTAATCACTTTGACCAGTCCCCATGGGAGTCATGTGTGTGCCACCAGTGTGTCAAGCCACCCAGCAGCAAGACATGAAAAGGGAAAACTCAGCCTTAAAGGTTTTGGAGTTTGGGCTTTGCCACAGGCCTTCGGAATGAGGATGAGAGTCTTTGCTAGGGAGGAGAAGGCACTGCTGCAGACCCGCCGCCCACACAGTGCCACCGTGACCACCCAGCGGGTGGCTTCATCCGACCTCCGGTGTCCCAGTTAAATATCTCAACTCCCAGCTTCTTTCAGGTCTTAAGGCCTCCACTTCGCAGGCTTGGTTTTCTCCCTTTGTCTTCCAACTTTCCCGAGCATCTCTCCGGGCCCAGCCCCAGCCCCATATCCTGTAGATGATCAGATTGGCCCTGCCCTCCCAGGGACTTTACAGGGCTCCTGGTGCCGAATGGCAGGTGTTAGGCTTGGCTGAGAAAGGGCCCCACTTTCTAGGAAGACCTCACTTAGCTCTCCTACCAGACTCACCCAGGAACAGCCGGCTCCCTCCCTTGAGAGGGATTTGCCAAGTGCAAGGTCAGTGGTACCTGGCTGTGAGGACTGGCATTTCCTGAGCATTCAGAACAGCTGATTGACGCTTAGCATGCAGGCTTGGGCCAGGCACCTGGGCAGTGCTGAGGCCAGGAACAGCCTAGCAGCCCAGACTCCTGTGTACAGGGACCTGCTGTGCTCAGCCCAGCCGATGCCTCAGCAGTTTGTAGACATTCTGCCCGGTCTGCATGAGCTTCTGCGAGGCTGGGGCCTTCTGGAAAGTCTACAGAAGTGTGCTTGGGTTGTTTACATAGTTAGCCATGTCCCTGAAGAAATGTACTGAGTGATGTCAAAAATTCCACTTCCTAGAATGTCTTGTGGAGCCCAGGAAGTATTACTTTTAGATATTGCAGTTCCAAAATATCAGTTAGGCCTTGCATTTCAGGATGCTCACCCTCCTCCTTTCTCTCTCTCTCTCTCTCTCTCGGAGCAGCACGGCTTCAGTGATATCAAGGTGGAAGACACAGCCAAGGGCCATATTGTCCTGCTGCAGGAAGCGGAAACGCTCATCCAGATTGAAGAAGATTCAACCCACATCATCTGTGACAATGACGAGATGCTGAGGGTACGGCTGCGGGACCTTGTCCTCAAATTCTTACAGAAGTTCTGAAGGGGACACAGAACCATTTCCTCTCCCTGAAATTCATCGTGGCTTCCAGCTAAAGAAGGGTGTGATGGGCAGTGTCCTCATGGTGTCCTCTGGCCTCAAGAAAGCAGGTGGCTCTGAGGGGAAAATAATCCAGAGCTCCAGCTGGGATCTGCTGCCTGGCTTCTTGGGAGTTTTTCAGGCAAGAGCTTTTTCTTTAAGCTTCAGAGTCCTGTCCTTTCCAATTCTGGCACTCCTAAACAGCTGAAGGTGACATAGGGTCTTAGGGATTCAGTCTTGCTTAACGGTGGACAGGAAAGTAAAATGGTGACCAGCTTATGTGATGTGGGCCTGTGTTTGCCTTTCATGGTTCGCAGGCCTCTCCTCAGGAACGAGTCTGCTTATCTGCATAGAGGGCTGCACCTAAAAAGAAAGCGGATCCAAAAAAATTAGGTCTTTTATACTGTGGCCTATTCTTGTTAATAAAACTTATTTTTATAGCAGTATGCGTGTATTATCCAACCTAAAATCTAAATAGCTGAAAAAAGAATGAAAATAGAACATAAACTTAGAAAATACCACAGCAGATTTGAATTTGATGTGTGCATTAAATCACATAACCCAGTACTGTTTACAAAAATACAGAGATTTCTTCTTCATTTGTATGGAGAAGTCCTTTCTGTAAGTTCTGTCTCCATGGAAAACACTGAGACTGACGGGTGCCAACAGCTGTGCCTCCCAGAGAAGCCCCTGTTGAAGTACGCATGCATTACATAAGCACGACAGGGTCTCAGGTCTGGCAGCGGTCTCCTGAGATTATATCGCCAGGGACACTGAACCCTTGTCTGTGCTGAGTGTACCCTGCCACGTTCAGATGACAGACTGGCCTGGAAGGCATCTCTCAGAATGTGTCCCCTTCAGTGGCAGCACATGACTGCTTCCAGGTTTGCTAGCTGACCCCGCCCATCACTGCCTTTCTGCAGAGGCCCACACACGCATAAGGAATGGTGAGGTTTCAGAGAAAAGCAGCCTCTCACCGAAGATGACTGGGCATGCCTGTGATCCCAGCACTCTGAGGGGCTTAAGTAGGAGGATGGCAAGTTTGAGCCCAACCTGGGCAACTCAGCAAGACTCTCAAAAATAAAGAAGGGGATGGGGATGCAGCCCAGTGGAAAGGCCCTGGGTTCAATCAGTCTGCCCCCGCATCAAAAAAAAAAGATTCCTGCATTTGAAATGATGCTATCTCTGAACTGTTTAAGCCTTCTCTGCCAGACCACATGAAGTCTAAGCATCCAGACTAAGTGAGTTCTGGTGGTAGGTATAGCTTCCTGTGATCTCAGATCAACTGCAGGAAGTCACCTTCCAACTCAGCTGACAGCTGGGTTTCACAGAGAGAACTGGGGACCCAGGAATGACAGGAAATGCTGTAGAAGTAATCGCTCAGGTTTTGCAGGAAGCTGATTGTCAGCTCTCCTGGAATGCTAGTATTAACGGGAACAAGGACTTCGTTACAGGAGGAACAAGACGACGTCATTTTTCCTATCTCCAGCTTGGCCAGTCCTGGGCACAGGAATGCTTGAGTGGGCTTCTGTTTTCCAAGGTACAGGGCTGTGTTAGGAACAAACTGGGGAACTACCAGCGTGGGACAGGACTGACTCAGTGAGAGACTGACATGCATGCATGAAAATTTACTTTGGTTTGTAGAACTGTAAGTACTATTATCACATTGTAGGCGTCTGTTCTAATGAAACTTTTGAAAGGATCAAGTTAAATTTTAAAAGCATCTTGAAAAATGCAAAAGCATAGTAAGATAAAGCTCAAAAGAAACCCAAATGGTTAAATGTCCTAGCATTACTGTGTCCAGAAATGCTGTGGCATTTGTCAGAGAATCATCTTCTGTAAAGAGGCTGCATCAGAGCCCTGGCCTTTATCGCAGGAGGGCAGTTACTAAGGGACAGGTGGGTGAAGTCCACAGGAGTCAGCAGCCACCCTGGGCAGGGAATAACTGGAAATTAGGGAGGCTTTTACCAGGTCACCACCACCCACCCAGAGGCAGAAGCCAGGACAGGAGGAAGCAAAGAACCATTCTTAAGAACAAAATCTAGAGCTGGCTTGCCACGTCTTGAGGGAGAGCAGCTAGGACTAACTCCACCTTAAGTTTAGATGTTTCAGAGCCAAACTAGGTTGGTTAGCAGACACATAGAGGTTGCAAAGCTGCCCTGAGTGCTGGAATTCAGCCACTGACTGCGGCGATCTGTTGCTAGAAATGCAGCCCAACTGTGGACACCTGCCTGATAAAGACTGTGACATCTAGCAAAGTTTCAACTTAAGCCCAGTGAAGTAGTAATGATTAAATGATACCTAAGAAAATCTTTAAAAAGAGTAGAGACACCTGGGCTGGGGATTTAGCTCAGTGGTTCTGCCACCTTCCTTGTAAGCAGAAGGACCCGAGCTCGATCCCCGGTACCAAAAGAAAAAAAAAAGAGAGAGAGAGACACCTAATTTTGTTATCAGGTATCTGTTGCTACATAGCAACCCCCAAAATCTTATTGGCTTCAAACCACCAACATAACCTCACTGTTTCCATGGCCAGGACCCTGTGTGGCTTGGCACATCTGTCCACACGGCTGCTGTCAGGTGTCCAGTGAGCAGACTGAGATGCAGTCTGATAAGGAAGCTGCTGCTAGCCTTCCTGACATCCTGTGAGTGCAGAGGGGGCAGTCGTCCTGGTCACTGTCCTTTAAACCGGCACTGGTGACCCCAAGCTGCAATGAGGTGAGGGTGTGGTAAGATGCCCCCAGCAGGCTGGTGGAAAGTACAGCCACACTTTGTCCTTTTCCCTGCGCCACAAGGAACAAACAGTGCACAGTGAACAACTCACTGTTTTACTCACCTGTACGAAGGTAGCCAACATCTGTTTCCAGGCCTGCAGGGCCCCGTACACAAGCATCACTCTTCTCTGAGGGTAAAAACAAGCGACTATGA